CTTGCTCCGGATTATAAGAGTACACGATAATATTAACAGGTAATTGCAGTATAGTAACATCGAAACCACATTGACGCAATCACAAATAAATGGCTGCAACCATGTAAAATAAGACTCCCTAGTAGTCAATAACCACAAATGTGCTTGATAAAAAAAATGAAAGAACACAAATTCTTAGCAAAAGTGGGTGCACACTATATACCATTCAGTCATAAGAAAAATGTTCTTATGACATACAAGTGCACACTATATACCATTCAGTCATAAGAAAAATGTTCTTATGACATACAAGTCAAATAAATCTGCGAGCTTCCCATGTTCTGGTGGTATATTCCCGACAATCAGGTTATTATTTAGTTCCCTGTTAAGCAAAAAAACACTTTAGTATGATGATGCGTCATGATTTGTGATTCGTAAAAACAGAAAGTCCATACAGGGCTTTGGAAACACAAGCTAAGTGCTCATTATCATCCTATAGATGTCTCACATAAATGTCCACTCAGGACACAACTATGCAATTTTATGCAGAAATGAATTGAAAAGAAGACTAAGGCTCTGTTTGATATGCAAGTTTTTCTAGGGAAAGTGGAAAACATTTTCACACTTTCCAACTTTTGCCTGTTTGATGTGCAAGATTTACTGTGGAATTGGCTTTTCCATCTTCAGCCTCATGCGCCTATTTTCCATGAATTCAAGGAATTTGTTTTCTCTGGCTTTGGTTGGTTTTTTGTTTTCCAGCTTTTCTGCTTTTTTTTTTTGGCAATAGAAAAAAATTATAGACACAATGATAAAAAAATGTATCACTTTTATCGACAATTTTCATGCAAAACAAAGCCAAACGAATGATATTCGGTATGGTAATTTTTTAAATTTTTTTAAAATTTAAGATTTTTAATTTTTGGCAATTGGAACAAATTCTAGACCCGTAGAATAAATTATCACTTTAATGAGCAATTTTCATGAAAAACAAAGCCAAACGGACGCCAAACGGATACCAAACTCTCAACATTTTTCAGGTGGAAAATTATACAAATCAAACACAATTAATTACAATTCTCAGTAAAACAAATTCTAAGCAATTCAATTCTCTATAATTCATTTTCTTTCC